CTCTCTCTCTCTCTCTCTCTCTCTCTCTCTCTCTCTCTCTCTCTCTCTCTCTCTCTCTCTCTCTCTCTCTCTCTCTCTCTGTGTGTCTCTCTCTCGCTAGCCCGCCCCTTTTTTTCTCTCGCTGGTTGTTTGACTTATCCCGTCATGGCTGTGGAGTATGCGTTTATTTTTTGTTTCATTTCTATGCGTGCGGTTGACCGGAAATTCAAGTGGTAACGTTATTCACGGTCCTTTGTGTGCGGGTATATCATGATGTCAGCAGTTTTATGTCGTTGGATGTGGGAGCGACCACAATGCTCTGGTTATTTCTATACGTCGGCTCTGCTCACGGGGTATCCATGTGTCCAAATTGTATATAGCCATATAGCCAGTTTGTGATCAGAATGATGCAAATCGTTTGCTAGCCACTTAGTCACTTTGCGGCTCTATGGCGATATGCCGTTTGGCATGGCTATATGGGTGCGGGGGTTTCAATTCGAATTCATTGATTGCTCCGATTATCTATGTACGTCTGCTCTGGTCGGGGCGTAGCCATATGGCGACATTGCAGCCATATAGCCAGGACGTCTACTCTGCCCATGGGCTAGCTATATGTCTGAACGGTGAAAAGCCATATCCAGTTAGTGAGCAGAAGGATGAAAATCGTTTGCTAGCTCTCAGTATGTCTCTTTAATAAGTTCGTGAGCAGAAGGATGCGGATCGTTTGATACCGGTAGTCGTGTTCTAGCCATTAAATCAGTTCGCGGCGCTATGTCGATGGCGTTTTGCATGGCTATATGGGTGTGCATGGTTTCAAAATTTGAATACATCGGTGCTAGCTAGCTATATGTCTAACCATTACAGCCATTGCCATACTGCCAAACGTCTGCTCTGCGCACGGGCTAGCTATATGTCAAATGTCTGCTTTGCGCACGGGCTAGCTATATGTCTAAACGGTTTCGCCATATAGCCAGTTCGTGAGCAGGAGGATGCAAATCGTTCAAATCGTCCGCTAGCCATATGGTTATATCCCGTTTAACATGGCTATATGGGTGCATCGGCTTCAATTTGATTTCACTGATGCTGTGATTATAAATGTCTGCTCTCCTCGCGGGCTGGCTATATGGCGAAATGATTTAGGCTTGTATAGCCATATAGGCAGATCGTGAGCATACAAATCGTTTGCTGGTCGTTTTTCAGTCCGCGCATGCTATGCTGTTTAGCATGGCTCTATGGGTGCATCGGCATTTGAGTACAGTGATGCTATTATTATAAATGTCTGCTCTGCTCGCGGGCTGGCTATACGGCGAAATGGTGTAGGCTTGTATAGCCATATAGGCAGTTCGTGAGCAGAAGCGTACACATTGTTTGCTGGTCGTTTTTCAGTTCGCGCTTGCTATGCTTGTTTGTTTGCGTACGTGTGTGTGCGCACATATATGGATGTGTATGGTCGAGGAGGCGTCGGTCGATGGGTGCATAGCCTCCCAATGTGGGTGCATGGTATTTCTACAGTTCACGGCTGTATCCGTGCCTGTTGTGTGCGNGTCGGTCGATGGGTGCATAGCCTCCCAATGTGGGTGCATGGTATTTCTACAGTTCACGGCTGTATCCGTGCCTGTTGTGTGCGTGCATGACTGCCGTCGTGGGGCTGTTGGGAGGGTGCATGTCTGTGCTTCGGGTTGTGAGATCCGGTGATTCGTGTTGACTGACGCCGTGTAACATCCGGTGATTCGTGTTGACTGATGACTCACCTCAGTTAAGTGTGGAGAGACGCCGTGGAACATTTGAACTATGTTGTCTTTTATGCTCTTGTTGACATGTTTGATTTCGTTTTCTGCTTCTGTGGCTTCTGTCGTTTTGTTTGTCTGTTTCTGTGGCCTCTGTTGTTTTTGTTCTCGGTCTCTGTGGCTTTTGTTTCTCTGCTTCGATGGCTTTTGTTTATCTCTGCTTCTGTGGCTTTTTTTTTTTTTGTTTGTTTTTCTATTTCTGTGGCTTCTGTTGTTTTTGTACTCTGTTCTCTGTTTCTGTGGCTCATGCTTTTTTCGTGTCTGTTTCTGAGGCTTCTGTTTTGTGTTGGTGTGGTTAGTGTTTGATCTTTGTTGTGGCTTTAGTTGGTTGTTTTGGTAGAGTGTTTAGTTGGTTGTTTTGGCAGTGTTTGAACCTTCTGTTGTGAAGCGTATGTCTGTCTTCAGATAGTGCCGGCTAGCTAGCTTAGCCTAGCTAGCTTCCCCTTAAGCAACCGTGCATGTATGCCAGGCTTCTACGGTGTGGAAGGCCGCATGCTCACTTTGTCTGCCTTGTATGCTGACGCAGCGTGTGTCCGCCTGTCAAGTTTGTCAGTGCCAGAGCGTTGATCGGTGTCAGCTTGTCGACTATAATTGAATAGAACGCGTGGGGGGTTGTCAATTGCAAGGTCGTCGAATAGAACGCAATGCATGGGGGTTGTGCTACGTAACATTTACACAACCACTCCTGGTGACAAGAGAATTCCCAGTCGGGATAAAGAAATTCCTGAGAATTCCCAGTTGGGAGAAAGAAACGCGAGTTTGCGTCCCAGCCGGGTTCGGCAAACGGTAGGTACCGTCCACGCGCGGAAAACAGTCCCGGCCAAGGTTCGCCCGGGGTGCAAATTGGAACGCGATCGTCGAGTATGGTCGGGAGCGATGATTTGTGTGTGTCAGGTATCCTTTGAATTTTACCACCGTCTTCACCCGGGCGATAGAATCTCGGTCATTGTGAGCGCATCTAGACTGGAGGGTGGCCCAGTTGCCGCTATGACGACGGGGCGTTCTATTCGGGTGAAGACGGTCGAGTTGAAGTATTGGCCAACAACGAGTTCTTGCGGTTTTTCTTTGTTTCTGCCGAATGCAACGCGGGGTGATACGTCTCTGCGATAGTGTGGGGCGGGGCGGGCAGGGGGTAACGTCCGTGGGGGGCGGGCAGGGGGGAATGTCCGTGGGGGGCGCCGTTCTATTCGGGTGAAGACGGTCGAATTGAAGTATTGGGGGGCGTTCTATTCGGGTGAAGACGGTCGAAATCAAGTATTGGGGGGCGTTCTATTCGGGTGAAGACGGTCGAATTGAAGTATTGGCCAGCAACGAGCTCCTTTTTTTTGTTTCTGCCTCCGTTCAACCGCCGAATACAACGCGGCGTGATACGTCTCTGCGATAGTGTGGGGCGGGCAAGGGGTAACGTCTGTGCGATATTCGAGATCGTCATTCAAGGGAAACACTTTTTTTCGTTCTTTGGTCAACACGTGTTTTTGGTCAACATTATCAGTTTCGGGTGTGTAAGGGTAGCAAACGTCCGAGAGTCGGTCGAGAGATTTGTCAGCGTGACCCTGTGGTGAGAACAATGTCATGCATGTCATGTTTCAAATTTGCTCAGTGCATTTGGATGATTTGGCTGACTATAAGAATTTTGTAGTGGATCGGCGCGACGACTCTAAAGGGGGTTGGAAAATGTTGTGGTCAATGTAAAAGAATTTGACGGATTTGACCGATCTAAGATTGCGCGTTTTTTAGTCTCTGAGATGCCATCGCCCAAATTAGACGTGCTATCACCATATATTGTGCCGCATNCGATCTAAGATTGCGCGTTTTTTAGTCTCTGAGATGCCATCGCCCAAATTAGACGTGCTATCACCATATATTGTGCCGCATGGGCTATCTAAGAGAGGAGTCGAGTCTCTTATTAGATTGCATCCCCTTCGCCCAAAGTTAGACGTGCTATGACCTGTATCTAAGCACGTCTAATTCAGCCGAAGAAGAAAGGACACAGCAGGGAGAAGGAAGAACACAGCAGGGAGAAGAAAGGACACAGCAGGAAGAAAAAAGGACACAGCAGAAGAAGTATGCAATGTGCGTCGATGCACCACTCACCCCATGCACAAAAGACAAAGAAGTATGGCGCTGTATCTGATATGTTGTAGGTGAAGATTATTTTTTAATGGTACTCGTCGTATGATTGGGAGATTATTGGTTCAATTGTTTGATTTGTGTTTTGGTCTCCGTGGGGTGTGTATCGTGGTGTGGTCCGGCTAATCGACTGCAGAGCGTGCTCGGCATTATCCTTGGAGGAGGGGCGGGGACTCGGCTTTATCCGCTGACCAAGAAGCGCGCGAAGCCTGCTGTCCCTCTTGGCGCGAACTACAGGCTGATCGATATCCCTGTGAGCAATTGCATCAACAGCAATATTCGCAAAATCTATGTGCTCACCCAATTCAACTCTGCGTCTTTAAATCGTCACCTCTCGCGAGCATATGCAAGCAACATGGGCGGATATAAAAACGAAGGTTTCGTCGAAGTCCTGGCTGCTCAACAGAGTCCCGAGAACCCCAATTGGTTCCAGGTATGTACGTTCGGAGATAACAGTCCATCTATTACAGTATTACTATTTTATAAGCTTACTGTCTATTTTGTGTGATAGTAAGAGTTTTCAGCGCTGTACCCTCTTTTTTTTTTATTTTTTTTTCCCCTGACTCTGGTCGTCCTGATTGCATCTGGATTCGAATTGGGGTCTGGTTTTAGATTCATGGGTGTACCAGCTGAGCTTACGCCCGTTGGTGCGTTCTACCACCTTCCCATGTCGGTAATTGCGTATTTCAGTTGGCAGCTAGTTACTACGCAGCAATATTAGCTGTTTATATTATCATCACGATTTATTTGCTAACGTAGTCCTGTCGTGTTCGTTTCATTTTGCCGTTATTTTAGTGGTCAAGTACGTTGGATCTCACAACATTGTTACGAATCGGAATTAAAAAAAAACGCGCCGGCAGAACTTTTTTTTTTTTTTTTTTTTTTTTTTTTTTTTTCATAAGATAAGAGCACTGTTTAGGCAGTCTGTCAGTTTTTAAACGACGCGTTAGCGTTCAAGCTGACGAACTTGATTGCTGGCTGGGTGGGTGGGTGGTGGGTTGCTGCGTGCGCTCTTTTTTTTTTTTTGCAGGGGACTGCCGATGCTGTTCGTCAATATCTGTGGTTGTTTGAAGAGAGCGATGTTCTCGAGTACCTGATTTTGGCGGGAGATCATCTTTACCGAATGGATTACCAGAAGTTCATCGAGCATCACCGGGTGACCAACGCCGACATCACAGTCGCAGCGCTGCCCATGGACGAGAAACGCGCCACTGCTTTTGGTCTCATGAAGATCGACTCCAGAGGGAGAATTGTGGAATTTGCCGAGAAACCCAAGGGAGATGCATTGAAGCATATGCAGGTATGGGCTTATTATTATTGATTTTTCTCTTTTGGGGTGAGTGTATGGCCATTGTTATTTTTATTATCGTGATCTGACCAAAGGGTATGTATATGGTTTGTAATCGATGTCCCAAGGGGCTCAAAGGGGCCATCTCTCAATCATAGTGGTTCCTTTTCTGTCTCGTATGTATGTCCTTTCTCCTTTCCTTGCAGTCTCCCATACACGAGTTGAGTCCTGTGCGCTGAGTCTTTAGACTACACGCGTGTAAGTGTTCGCGGGAGTGCGATGATTTTTAATTGCGCACTGTGAAGCCTCTGATTGCGTACTTGCTTGCCGGTGAAGGCTCGCGCATAATGACCATCTATATTCTACCCTGTATTCACCCTTATAGAAAGCGCGCTATTATCGGGTGTTTCACAGCGGGTTTGCCCATTTTTCACTCGCTCATTTATGACTACAGCCAATTTCTACCCTCTGTTTACCCAATTTGTAACCGTAGTTTGTAGTAACTGTTTTCGCACATTTTCGGCTCAGTTTTTGCCCATATTACACTCGCTAAATTAACCCTTGACAGGGTATCCCCCCTCTGGGCATGCATCCCTCATCTGACTCTTTCGCACCTGCGTACCATCATGTTGTGGCAATGTAACCATTGTGTCCGTAACAGTGTTCACTGCATTTCAGTCTCTTCCACCTGGCACCTGGTATGTGCCTATCCTCTCCCATACTTTTACCCACAAGACTGCGACAACAGTCTCTCCGTACCCCCTCCCTCGACTACCCCTATGCCTGACTGGCACCGACATGTAACCGATATATTTTTTTTCGCATATTTTTTCGTTGTGGCTGGATGGGCCATGGATCAGATATTAGACTGATCAGAACAGATACGTCATGTAAATGGCAGTTAAACAAATCATGACTTCGAAATTTGACCCTTGTGAACTTGCTTGCTCTTCTTTGGCTTGGTTTGGTTTCTCTTTCTTTGTGTCCTGTATCTCGTACCGTTGCTTGCTTGCCTGCCTGCCTCCCTGCTGATTCCGCTCACATCATGCTGATCTTTTTTTCTGGTGCCTCCCTGCTGATTCCGCTCACATCATGCTGATCCCTCTTTTTCTTTCTGGTTTCTTTTTGTGCGCTTTGTTTTGTTTGCTCTCTGTGTGTGTGGTTGTCCGTACTTTCAGGTGGACACAACCATTCTGGGCCTGGACGAAGAGCGTGCCAAGGAGATGCCCTACATTGCCAGCATGGGCATTTACGTAATCAGCAAGGAGAGCATGATCAAGCTGCTTCGTGACGACTTTCCCGAAGCCAACGACTTCGGCAGCGAGGTCATTCCAGGTGCCACTGCTCGCGGACTCAATGTGCAGGCTTATCTCTACGACGGCTACTGGGAAGACATTGGAACGATCGAGGCCTTTTACAATGCCAACCTGTCCCTCACCAAGCAACTGGACCCGGAATTCAGCTTCTACGATCGGTCTGCTCCCATTTACACGCAGGCTCGGTACTTGCCGCCTTCGAAGATGATCGATGCCGATGTCATCGACAGTGTGGTTGGTGAGGGATGTGTGATCAAGAATTGCACCGTTTCACATTCCGTCGTAGGATTGCGGTCGTGGATTGACGAAGGGGCGGTCGTTCAGGACACGCTGCTGATGGGATCGGATTACTACGAGACGGACGAGGAGAGGAAGGAAATCGTCAGCACCGGTGGCGTGCCCATGGGAATTGGCAAGAACTCCATCATCAAACGAGCCATCATCGACAAGAATGCCAGGGTCGGAGAGAACGTGCAGGTAGGGAACGCCCGGGATGACACATCATGCTGCTGCTGCTGCTGCGGCTTTTTTTTTATTATTATTATTATTTTTTGGGACCATTTCTCGATTTATGCGTGTCATCCTTACTTGCGCAGGGGCCATGCTAATAATCTTCATTCTCTGTATCGCTCCGATTTGAACGGATGTCCCGAAGGACAATTGCGGCATTTTGTACGGTGTCGAGTTTACAAGGAACAAGTCGAGTTTACAAGGAACAAGTTTACAAGGAACAAGTCGAGTTTACAAGGAACAAGTACACGGACCGGTCGGTCTGTCATGCTTGTTTCCAAAATTAATTGCAAAAGATTGAAAGAACTCAAATGGAAAAGAAAAAAGAAAAAAGAAGGGTCACCCTCACACCACCACTCACCACACTCTTCTCTTGCTGTCACCGTGCGGGTGAGTGAATCACCACGCGGGTGTGTGCAACAAGGGCGCAACAAGATAAGGCCGCTGTGGTGAGTGGTGGAGCGAGGCCCGTTGTCACGCCAGGACTTTTTGGACCGAGCTGTGGACGTGATTGTGGCCAGATGCGTCCATGTCTGGCCGTAATCAGGCAGACAATATATTATATTTAGGAGGGTGCTCCTTGAGTATGCCCGCAGGAGTACTCTCCATAGGAAATAGACTTCGGAGAGTGGACGGTTCAGTCGTAACCTCTAATAAATGAACTCAGGAAAACTGCAGTTTTGTCGAAGGCCACCGCAGGGACGGGGGGCTGCACGGAGGATTTGGTTGATCTATCAGACCGATGGCTTAAAAATTCTGCTTGGCAAGTGACGTGGGGTCTAGTAGAAGGCCCTTCAGAAGACCAGCCGGTAGTTGCCACCGGCCGTGATTTGGGCCAGATTCACCTATTACTACCAGGTGAATGTGGAAAGAAAAGCCTGCCCTGGTCGCTCGTGCCTCGGCCATGCTCAGCTTGACTTGGCCACGTCCGGTGGTGTTATTTGATAAAACATCGCGCAAAGGCATGGCAGCAACAAGACTGCAAGAAGTGGTACACCCAGAACGAATCAGATGAACAGAACAGAATAATCGTGAAATACCTGGGGCCAGTCAAATCAATGATGATATCTCAACGTCGTTGCCCTTCTAAAAGGATCGAAAAAAAAAAGGGGAAAAAAAAGAAAGGAAGTGGAAAAAAGAACGCAATTGGATGTTGTGCAGAGATATGTTTTTCATGTGCATTATCTGCACATGGATCAGTGGCCGGGCTATTTTTGTCCTTGCCGTCGAGGGCTAGTTCTGTTTCTTTTCTTCCGTTTTCCTTTTTCAGAATAAATTTGCTGTTGTATGAACTTGTCATGTGTCATAGTGTATGATAGATATCTGTAGTGGCGACTGGGTTTCGTGTCCTTTGAAAGGGCTGTTTCTCTTTTCTTTTTTGGGACCATTTCTTGATTTGTATCTCATCTTGTTTATCTTCTCTATATTGTTGCAATTTAAATCGCCAGTACACGGTGGTTCACTCCTGAAATTTTGGAGGCTCGGGGCCACCGGACCACAATGGCTGGTGGCGCCAGGCTGCCAGCCAGAAGAGAAAACTGTACTTGGTGCAGCTTGGAGTTAAAGCTTGGGGCGCAGTGTTAAGGCCAGCAGGGGCTTGGGTGACTGGGCTATTTCTGATTTGCTTTGGATACGACTCGTACGAGTTTGTCATCATAATCTGGTGTGTGGTTATTTGTGTCCTTTGAATGTGCTTTTTTTTTCCTCCCGCTCTGAATTCGATGTTGTTATCATGTGTGCATGATGGATATCTGGAGGGGTTGAGCACTGAGCAGACTATTGGGAAGGGCTGTTTCTGATTTTGCAAAAGTAGATGTTCTTATCATAATGATGTGTGGCACCAAGTGTTTCAATTTGTTTTTTGTTGTTTCTAGGCGCTTAACTGGATCTCGCTCTGGTCAGTTTCCCGGAAAATAGTCTGAATACCATTTTGGTCTTGGAAGAATGATACTTTAATTGATTCATACATGACTGATTGGTGGTGTATGCTCTTAGGAGAAACTGTATATTTTTTTTTTTAAATAGCATAACTGCAGATTTAAAAAAAAACACGTAACAGTTTTCCTTGAGTTGATTGAACTTGGGTGTTTACTGGACTGATATTCACACTGTATGTCTGTTGTGTGCGGGTGTGACACGGCGCTGTGTGTGACCAGATTGTCAACAAGGATAATGTGCTGGAACTCGAGAGGGAAGAGGAGGGGTACTACATCAAGGGTGGTATTGTGACCGTCATTAAGGATGCAACCATTCCTCACGGCGCCATCATATAAAATGGATGTAGTTATTCCTTGCAGCGTGATAATCATACGGAGGATGCTACTGACAAAGAAATGCACACTTTGATTGTGTGCATGTGTAATGCTCTGGCAGCTCCATCAGTCTTCTTGTACTGGTTCAGACTCTTCACAGAGTCTTCAGAGTTCGAGCGGGCGATTGTTCATTGTGTGGTCAATAAGATGTAGATAGGATTAAACTAGATTAGATAGCCTGAGGTTTGATTGGTAGAGATTCTAGAGAATGATGAAGAGAGACCAAGGGAGAGAACGAAAAAGGTCACCATACACGCACACACACGCCCGCTCAAACACATGGAGAGAGAGAGAGAGAGAGAGAGAGAGAGAGAGAGAGGGAGAGTTTTTTTTGTTATCTTTGGCTTGACTGATTTTGTAGGTTACCAAATTTCCCGGGGGGAATCTGATTTTTGAAAGAAGTGAATAGCCGTTGCTGTCAATAAAAATTGACGTTGTTGTGGCTGCCGCTGCTTTTAGTCAGCAGCTAGTGGGTAGTGTAGAGGAGACTGTACGTTCTTTGTGAGCCGGTCGTCACGAAGTGACAAAGGTGGTGAGAATTTCCAGGTCCAACATTGTATTTTCTTTTGGGGACTAGATTGACATCAAATAAAAGAAAAGAAAACGCTCTAATCAACTGAGTTATTGGAAAGACTTGATTTGTACCGTGTTAAAATCCAACTCCCTCCCCTCTACCTCACCTGCTCTCTCTCTCTCTCTCTCTCTCTCTCTCTCTCTCTCTCTTGTGTGTGTGTGTGCATGCACTGTCCCTCTCTCTGTTGGACTGTTGCAGTGTTTGTCTCTCTGCCTATGTAGGACAAGTCTGTGTCTCTCTCTCTCTCTCTCTCTCTCTCTCTCTCTCTCTCTCTCTCTCTCTCTCTTGTGTGTGCGTGT